CATAACATCTGCATGGCAGAGGTTCAGGGTAGGTTCGAATTACATCGCCGTCTTCTCAAGTGCTTGAGGGAGAACTTTCTCTTTTTCGGGAAAGTCTTGGGAAAACGAGACATGTGTTTTTCTCGTGTAATCATGGGAAGACGGTGGAAACGGGCAGATTGAGCAGAACATCGTCAACCGCCGAACCGTTAACAACGTCTGATACCTCATAGTTTTATTACTATTGTATTGCTTATTTTTATCAGCTGTGTTGGTTTTGTTATAGTTTCGTTATTGTTTGTGATTGTTTAGTTCTTGTTTTTGTTTGAATAAAACTTTATTCTCGTTAGTTGTGATGCACATTTACTTTAAAGACACACCCGTGGCTATCTTAAAGTATCTTTTATTTTATTTAATTGTTAGAATATATCTTTGTTATTATCATAAACGAGAGTGATTTCCTATCCCTCCCGTTCCATATCCTAATTGCGTACTTCACCGGTAAGTTCAGACAGGGCGTGCTTTAGCACCTTAAAAGAGCCAGGACCCGAAATTATAAATAAAGTAACGACCGCAATCGCGGGACGTAACAAGTTAGATAAATCATAGAATGCTACATTTCTTGTCGATGTAGATACCACATTTGGTATCTTCCATGACTTACTCGCTGTATTGAAAAAATTAAAAATATATACAAGTGTAATGATACCCCAGATATAAATATTCGTAAAAAACCAAATTGTGTATTCAATATAAATTGATTTATTGAATGAATCTGGGAAATAAATAATTTAGAATAGGTAGGTATGCCATATATATTTGCTGTTTATTGTTTATACATATTTATACATGGGTATACATGCATTTCATATACATATGTGTATAGATAATTTTTTCTTTTGTAGTTTGTTAGGTCTTTTAGTATCATTCATTTTCCCATTAAAAGTTTCTTCCTAGCTCTTACAGTTAACAATATGTATTGAAAGAACGGAAAACTCGGCAAACTTTAAGGGCTGTTTTCACCCCTTTAACGCGAGAGTCGGTCGGTAAAAAAAATTGTTCCTTGCATAACTCGATACTCTCTGCGATCCGACAAAGTTTCATTAAAATCGGGACCTGCAGGTTGTGGAACATTCCTTGTCAGTTACCTTTAAGTCCAGTATTGCATTTATTAATTATATAGTATTTAATAGTAAAATAATTGATTAAACTATAATATCATGTAACATACATTAATATGTTTCTGCATTCTTGAACTGTAGTTTCCTGTATGTATAGAGTATAGAGTGCCAGTACTCCATGTATGCAATCTTTTTGCTAACGTACTGGAGGTATACAAAAACTGTGTATGTATATAAAAGTTATATGACAGAGCGGAGAGGTGATTCGTTGGCAAAGACGAATGTTTATTACATTATTATTTTAAGAGATATGAAGTTAATTGTTTCTTAAGTATAACTGCATATTTTATTTCAGATAACTTGATACTGTTTTCAACCGATTTCAGAAGCTGATAATATACCTAAACCTTTTGTCTTAATAACATGTAATAGTCGTAATGTTTAATAGCAACTTTTCTAAATATTACGTTCGTAAATTTATTGATTTTGTAATGAAAAAAAGTTCGATCGAATAGAAAGTATCGATGGTAATCTGGCTTCCTTCTTATATTCCACGCTTTAAACATTACCTTTAGAAACTGATAAAAGGGTTTGCAGCATACACCAAAAGTAAACGTGTTCTGAATAAAAAACAAGGCTGGTATTGCTTTTCAACCGGTTGTCTGATATTAATAACTACGGTATTAATCAATGTATCTTGAAAACTGTCTAATAAAGAATACATGTTTTACTGATTACTGCATTTATCTCAAAAGCTACGGTCAAGTAATCTAAAAGGAATATACAATTCCATTTATAAAAATGACTTTCAATTTTTAAAAACTGGACCTTCGTATTTCTGAAAGTAACATTTTAACAAACAGTTTATAAATAATAAATGCAATACTGAAGCAAGAGGTGACCGAGTCTAGAGCGTTTATCGGTTCTGTTACGTTGAGCGGCAAGGAAAGGCAGCTGCGCGCCGGCAATGAGCACCACTGACGGCTTCACGCGTTTTGCCAAACTTTTACGTTTCTGTATTGAAAACCAAAACGGACATACCGTTTTCTTTGATGCTTTACTCAGAAAAAATGTTTGCTTTATCGCGTGGTGTAATTAGATTCTTCTCTACAGTTTTAGTTTTCAAACTAAATGGATACATATTCGCAAAAATTGATGCATTACGGGTATTATTTTCATTTGGATCGTTGTTCAAACGTTTTTATGTTTTTAATGCAAGAATAATATACATGACATTATTTGGAAGAACTATTACTGTTTAAGCATAAAACATCTTCAAATTTGAAATTACATTTTTTCATAATTAAATTTCTAAGGAACTAATGCAGGGGGCGTAAAACGGTTCGCGGATTCGTATTTAGTGCATAAAAGTCTACAAAAGAAGACCAATTAAATATTGGTGGTCCAAATAGGTGTTGAACAGTGTTCTCAATTATTCGAATATCAGCATTTTAATGTGGTACAACCAAACATTAGTTATAGTAGCCTACTACTTTTGTTTATAATTTCGTGAAGCGATAATATGAGGACAAATGTCATCATAAACATTATTATAGAAATATTCGTGACAGCTTCGTATAGAATTATATTTTTCGATGATTTAAGTTAATGTAGAAACCCTAGTAGCACAAAATATTGAATACATATTCATACAAAATTAAAAAGAGATTCAATCTCATTTTAATATTTAAATATCCATACAATATGTATTTAATATTACGAAAAAAATATTTTTTTCTCAATATAAAATAAATATGTATTTAATATTTGAAACAAAATATTTTTTCCCAATATAAAATAAATATGTATTTAATATTGGAAACAAAATTTTTTTCCAAATATAGAATACCAATAAAAAAATCATTTACAACATTACGCATAAAATACTTACGAACGAAGTGGCTACTTTTTACTCCGCGCATGGGAGAAAGAACAAATTATGTTTCATCAATTTAAAATTATACGATTCCATAACTAGTAAGTACTTATCGTTTTTACGTTTCCTCATAATACATATGTAATACATAATTTATTTTATTATTCATTTCACAGTAGCAACAAGAAAGAGGACAACATGCATTACGGAGATTGAGATCAAACAGTGTATAGCACTATTTTTGACAACAGCCCAATCTAGAATTTAAAACCATTTTGATTAAATTTATGATTAAAAATTTTTACTAAATACAATATTTTGATTAAATACATAGTTAACTATATGAATATATTTTTTTATGTGTGTCGAATGAAATGTTTGTTTTTATTTAAATAATATTTTCCTAGATTTATGCATAATAAAAGTATTTGTTTTTAAATATGTATTTTTGTTCTCCTTTTGTTAGCAATACCACACTTGGTTAAAAAAAAAACTAATTTTATTTTCAGCCAAAAAAATTATTTTTCTAACAAAATTTTCTTTGGTATTTCTTCCAATTGATTCTCTCTTGTTTGTCATAGTTTACTTATGTAGTAAAATGTATTTAAATTTGGTTTACCTGAGTCATTATGTCGCGAACCATATATATAGATTGAAAAATGATCTTTGTAACAGAAGGTCTACACGGCTCATTCAGGAAGCAGCTTGTCCTTTTTTTTCTCAGGCCCACATAGTCCATTGTATATAGTTTAGGCGTAAGTACCTTTTGTATTTGTCCATAGTTTGTAAGTCTTTTAGCTTTAGTATTTTTTTTGAGACTGGCTCATGGGTTTTTAAAAAAAAGACATGTTTTTTTCCCCACGTTACCATACCAAAGCGCAGCGTAAACAGTTGCTATTATACTCTGTTATGTATTGTGAAAGATTTATTTTATAGTTAACTACGACGAAGATATTTATTTATAAGTTTTGCCTGCGCGCAAACAAATAGATAATGATTTATTTTATACTGTAAGGCATCTTTTTTTACGTGTTTTTGCTGTTCTATATATTTTTATATTGTACTGACATCTGCAATAAACATTGTTTTTAAAAAAAAGCAGCTTGTCCAGTAATCCATAAGTCACGAGTTCGAATCGCCACAGGTAGTGAAAAATTTCCGTAGTCAGAAGAAAGTGTTTAATAGAGTGGGGGGTGTATAATCACGGACCAGACTATTTTCGGATGCATGAAACGGTGTATGAAATTTATTTTAATTTTTTTTATACATTCTGTAGTATATATGTATGTAGATAAAGCGGGCCGAGCGGTGACTGGATTGTGGGCAGGGGTTGGGGGAGTGAGGCGAGTCAGTCGATGTATGAATGCCACGGGCGGGTAACGTAATAAAGGTTATTAGTTATAAAGGAGTAAAGGATTCATTTATTACACATTCTTTTCAAGCTTTCAATTTACTATTGTCTAAATATTTAACTCATATTTTTTAAATATTTCTTTTATATCCTATGAATATCTAGTTTATATTTTTTAAACATTTATTTTATATTTCCTGTATACAATATTTGGATTCAATATTTATTTCATATTAAAAAGTGTGGCTAAAAAAATATTGTTTCAATATTTTTGTGCTACTAGGGATGCGTCATATTCCGATATCACAACTCACAGATAAAGTAAACTTAAATTATTATCGTTATTAAATTCTACCCATTATATAAAATTCGTATAAACAATTGCTCTTAAAGAATATGTAAATTGTTCTTACAATCTCCATACGACCGTTATGAAGTTGTAATACCTAATCAGTAAATGAATCATCGTCAGAATGGGGTAGCGCAGCTAAACACAGTTAAGAATGATTCCACGAAGAAGATCTATGAAGTGCATACACTTTTCTCGCGTCTAAAATGTAATCTCAATTGACCTATGGCCCCACTCTGGTCACTCCCCTTAACTATCGTTAGGCCTTATGGTCACTCGCTGACAAGAGTTCTCTTTCCTTCACTTCGTAACGAACATCCATCAAGGATGAACCGACATAGTGAACTCGTGTTCGCCTTCCTGGCCGTAGCCATATCCGTGGTCTGCGCGGAATTGGTGCTACCGCGGCAGTGTTCTTACCCGGATCGTGAGTACATATTGATCGATCGATTATTTCAAGTGTTAGAAAAAAAAGGAAGCAACAAATTAATGGACTGACAGTTAGTGAATCAAAGTTCTGTGCCTTTTGTATAATATATCTGATTCAAATGTACATACAGAACTAACAACATTGATTGTTCATAAATTGTTTATCTTGAACAAGAAAATACAATGTCGAGCTCGAGTTTTAGGTCGATTATTACTAAAATTTACCATGTCACTTTCGCTTTTTCTTTGTTACATTGAAAATCCCAAGATGAATTTGACACTTGTATATTGTCTTGGTCAACTTAATACAGAGTTTGATTTCTAATTAAATTTCTTAAATGTTTCTGCGCGCTACAGAATAGAAATAGAATATTTTATATAGTCTAGTTAATTAATCAATTCTGAAGTTCAATACGTTTAGTTACAGAGTGTAATTGGTCAATTCTACGACTTGAAGCCAAAGAGAAATAAAACTCCAAGAATCTATTTAGTTATTTATACGAAAAGTGTGAATACACTTTATGTATTGATAATACTTGTGAAAATATCTAGTACTTCACTATTCTAAATCAATTAGAGACAATGAGAAAAACATTAAAAAGTTCACATATGGTAGTTCCAAAATAAATTTGGTTACTATAATAGATTCGATACTACAAAACCACTTTGGTGGGAACTATTTACGTCTTTAGCAGCTTGTGATAAAGTAAAACAGTTATGATAACAAAATGATAAATTATGTGCATACATGTACATGTGTCATTTAGTCCAATACAAATCTCGTGCAATTTAATCTCCTCTGTAAATACGTTTATTACGACTTTTGTGTAAGAATTTTGGTTATTTTACATTCTCTTGTTTCACTCACAACTATATTTCATTATGAGGTGAATAAAGCGTTCGTACTCGGTGCGCATATCAAAATGTCTTTCAAATGTGAAAGTTAAGAAAAATATAGTTCCAGGAATTTAAAAAAAAATAACAAATTAAATTTAAGTTTACGTATTCATTTCTCGTTCTTCCAAAAAGAAAATTAATACAGAGTACAACCATTTTCTTAGTTACGTAATTTGAAAACAGTCTGGATTACTATTAAATGAGAATACAGGTTCTTATGACAAAATTCGATTAATTCAAGAAAAATTTCAATCTCTTAGAATTAAAATTTTAATTTAGAATCTCTAAATACGTCTAAATTTCGAGGAAACTACGGTTCATGAAATAGATAGACTTATAATGAAGATACATGCAAATCAATTTCAATGTAAACTAGTTAAGTTGAATTCTGTAAAAGTTTTACGCACCAGTATTTAAGGTATGATATTTACAAAAATCGTTTTTATAGTTTCAAATATAGTCATTTTATAGACAGTAAAATATAGTTTCAGTCAAGTAAGTTGTATAGTAGTTTTTTAAAGTTGTATGCCTGCTACTAATATAGAAACATACAATTAATGTTCTGTTGCTTCATGAAACTCTTTTTATGATCTACAATAATTCACAGTGTGCAGTTTATTGTTTTTTTGACGCGTTAAATGTTACTGGCCTCGTTACTAATAATAAGCAAATCTGACCTTTGCTACAGACGAGATTCACTGATCTTGGATAAACATTAAAGCCAGATTCACACTATGTACCAGTCATTGTACGATTAGATCACGTCAAATCGGGCAGCGGTCTTTACCACTCAAAAGTAGAGATGGCGTGAATTGCTACTTGTGAATCACTCGTGATTCGATCACGTTCGTTCCCAATCACGGTGATTTTTCACAGTGATTCGTGATTTCTCGTGATCGTTTCTGATTGGTGGAGAAACCTAACAGTTCTTTACACGCGACACATAATCTGTATATTTTATATTAACGACATCAAAACAAAAATTCGAGTTATATCGTATAAACTGAAGGAATAATTAGAAACAATGAAGAATAATGAATAAATTAATGATTATAAATTATAATCTACATGTTACATAGCAAATCATTCTTTTAGAATTTCTTGTTTTTTCTACTGATTTTTACAAACACGAATAGTAATGTAATTCATCGTAAAATCATATTGAATACGTTTTTCTGTTTAAAGATCAAGGACTTACGATTGCAGTGAACAAATTCACTCAAGATAAAAAAATCGCAATCACGGTCGTGAATGAAGTAAAAATCACGACCGTGATCGTGATTCGACGATCACTGTAATGAATCACCGTTAGTGATTTTGCACGCCATCTCTACTCAGAAGCCACACTGTGTAACTCACGCGTAATCCAATGAGAGATATACAGGGTGTCTCAAAATGATCCCCTCGAATATCTCTGAAATTATTTGTGATACCGGAAAATGTTTCAAACAAAAGTTGAATGGTATCGAGGGGGACATATTTTCATGTCAATTGTTTTTTTATAGGCGGAAATGTAGAGTACATATGAACGTCAACTTAATTTTTCAACGTAGCCACAATTTAATGTTGCATAGTATTCCAAACCTTCTATCCACTTTTTAATTGCATTCGTGAAAACCCATTATGACCCAGAAAAGAAGATGCAGTCCATGGAATATCATGATTACAATTTGTTCTGACACAAGAAACGTAAGCTTCAAATTTATAGTTGTACTATTATGTATTGTGCGCAATTGGATAAAAATGAAGCTAGAATCATTCTTAATAGATGGAATGAAGAAGTGGATAGAACGTTTGGAATAATGTGTAGCACCAACCGGGGACTACACTGAACAACATACGTACCTATAATTATGATGGGAAATAGATTTATAATATTTTTAAATCAGTTTGACTATTTTATCTTGTTTCTGACTTATTTTAAAGGATTACAAATTTTATTTAACGATCAACCCTCGTGTATCACATATGTAAACGCATATTTCCAAAAATTAAAGTGAATAGCAATAAATTTTTGCTGTATAATGTATTTTCTTACAGTTAGCGTAATGAAAGTGCCTTAACAATTACAAAATATTAAATGTGTTAGACCGAGTTAGAGCGCAAGCGACTGTTAAAAAAATCGAAGGTTCAACTTCGTTGTCGCTGCGCTTTTAATAAATTCCCGGATCTAACGTTTTCCCGGACTCAGGAAAATTTAGGATAGTTACGAAAAAGTGACACGTGATTATCCCGCTCAGTGAGAATTTATTATTCGAAAACTACAATGCTCGTTCGGTTGAGCAGATTAGCTTGCTAACCGGCGAAGTTACTTCGTAAGTTCATAACCGCAAAATATAAATTAAGAACGATCTCTCTGATCTAACCGATCTACTGGAGCGATTACAAAAAACTGTTCTAGTCGAAAGATTACAACGAACTGTACTAATCGAATGATTAGAACGAACTGTTACATCGCCGATCGGTTACCGGCCGCTCTCCCTTTCGTAGCAAACTCTCCTGCTCGCACGCATAGCAACACGTACGTGGCTCAGTTTCTGCCGTACAACAGTTACATTATGTTTTCTCCTTGTCGCCTTTGTACGAAGAATCATAATCGACTAACGACTTTGAACGGTAGATACCAGGTGTACCTCCGAAACCGGTAATAATTTGTACCCCGAGTTTCTAACAAAATGTGAATTAAAAATATTTACATATTACCAGGTAACGGATTTTACACATGTACATACCTGTAACGTATGCACGTAAATGTGTAATACATAAAGACAATGTTAACATAATATTGTTTGGTCAGTGCAAACGTTTTGACGGGTTCTTTTCAGACGATACGATCCTTATGTTTTTATAGAAACAATAAACATGTATGTTAATGTATTCTATGTTCATGTTAACGTAAAACAGTAAATTGTTGTAAAAAACACAAACCGACGCGATTGAGTGTTTTACTGCTTAAAATAAAATTGAAGTTGAGGTCTCGAAAAAAATTTGAAAATAGAGGGAATAAGCATTAAAGTAAAAAAAGCAACGTAAAAACCACGTGTTCTCCGTTTGGGGAGGCTATTACGTTAATCCCACTGTGTGGTAAACGAGAAACTTATAATTCAATTATAGAAATTCAATAAATAGTAATAATGTAAAAGTTTGTTTATTAGTATGAAACTTTATGTTGAAAATGTATATGTTATAAAAGAATCATTGTATATTGCATTAAATTACTAGTAAATTATAATTAAAATTATTACTAGTCTACTCTTTTAGAGCAAAACCGATCAAAACTTTGCACAGACGCATTACGTGTAATAACATCTTTCTTGTATTTTTTACTGAATACTAATCTTCAATGAACACAATAAGTTATTCATCTAATTTCCGTTTATGTAAATTAGTCCATTAACATGGAACTACCGTATATTTTTCAGCTAATGCTCCATCAAATTGCACCGTAACTGAAGTCTACATAGATCCGTGTAAAGAAGCTGCAGAGGGAAAACCATGTAAAGTACGGAGAGGAGTAACATCAAATATGACTATCCATTACACCCCTAGTAAGTCCAGTGTTAACAAACATTTTGTATAGTATTACATTACAACTTTGAGAAGAAAACAGATACTAGTCGGATAAACGACTAATACAGTAATCCCGCGTTGAACGCAACACGAAAACGACTCGATGAATCCTACATCGTAATCCCCATCACTGGGAAAGGGGGCCGTGGAATTTGTCAATCGCTTAGTTTTCTGCCCAGCGCGCCGCGGCGGCATCCCTTTCACGAGCCGACGGCTGAATGAGAGAAAATCAAGAAAAGATTACATGCCCGGGCATCGGGTGACAGGATACTAATGTAACGATGAAACTTTTTTATTTTTGGTTCTTTGTTAATGAAACTTTTATTAACATATTGGTGAGATTATTCCGATTTAAACGATACTAAACACGGTATAATTTAAAACATATTTACTTATGTAGAAGGTGTTAACAATTCATATTCTCATATTATTGTCTCTGATAAAGTACAAACATAACAAAATCTTGAATCCTTTGTTTATTGTGTACAAAGGTGTCAGAAAGATTTAAAATGGTACAGTATTGAATGTCGGAAGGAAAAGAAATAAATGCGTACGTAGGTATGCATATACAGTTGCTCACGAAAGGATTCGATCGCACCACCGCTGTCTTTAATCCATCATGTAACAATTTATCCCGTGTCATACTCGGGCAGAGCGTCTAGTTATCGAACTGTTTATTTCGAGTAAACCTCGGAGTTTCAAGAAACGAACTGTGCGTCATGTTTCCCCGTGTGCTATAGCGCTATAGCCAGCCTGTGCATTAACCGAGTCGTCGCTCGCAGTGGAGCCAGAATACGAGATGCGAAGGATAGCGAATGGAAAAGAAAGAGAGGTCTGCGTGTCGGTGACACCAAACTCAGCTACCTCGACTCTAATCTCTTTCTTTTGCATTCGTTGTCCTTCATATTCCGTATTGTGGCTCACCGCGATCGACTGTGCAAGTCGATGCGACACAGGGGATTCAAGTGATGCGACAAGGGTACGAGGCTAGGATTAAGACTCAGAGAGCTGTCGCCGGATCACATTAAAAGAATCACCCCGATTGGCCGAAACGGTACGACAAAGAGCGTACAAAACATACCGAAACCGAGCAAGATAACGCGAGCCGCAGGCGGCCACAAGGGAAAAAGCTTGAAGTTCGGTCGAGCTACTCGAACGAGCTCGGATGACAGATTTATGTTCTCAGGGGAGACCCGAGGCTCTGACACACTGGCAATCAAAGCTCGAAGCTCGAAGCCTCGGCGCATAGAGATGTTATCTGGCCGCTGGCAACCGACCCTCGGGCCCTCGGGTTACAATGTAACACACGGAATATCACCCATGAATAAAAATTTAAACTTTTATTCCTTCCAGTGTACTTTCTTAAAAATGCTTTGAATAAATGTAGGAAATTCTCTTAATGAAAATAAGTCTAAACCCGACATAAATGGGACTATATTTAATAACATAGAATTCGCATCGCGACATAACGTACGAGTAAACATTTAAACTTTTACTCCTTTCAGTGTACTTTCTTAAAAATGTTATGAATAAATGTAGGAGATTCTCTTGATGAAAATAAGTCCAAACCCGACATAAATCGGATTATATATAATTACATAGAATTCGTATTAAGGGAAATGTGGGATAATTCATCAGTTTTGCCTTTTGGATGAAGTAAAGATACCTGTAATTCTTATATTTATATCCCATCATTTCCTTACAGATTCTTAATATTCTTGCAGTATTGTAACCTGCAAACAATCATACTGCTTCATAGCAGCGGTTATTACATTCGAACAAAACTCCAATTTAGCCATTCAATTTTCCGTATGTCTTTTCTCCATTTGACTTGAATTGTGTATCTTTTTAATCTTTTCGACACCCTTGTACAATAAACGTAGGTTCCAACATTTGGTCGGCAGCCGGTTCCGCTCGCGCAGTACCACCGAGGGGAAGAACAATATCGTCATAAACTTGTACCGTTGGGTGACTCCCGCTACCCGCCACCTTGGCGCGGACATAACATCCTTACATTTTTTTGCAATATTGAAAAGTAAGGTACAATATTGAAAGACGAAAGCTATAAAAGGAAATGAACGTACACATTATTGTAGGAAATTGAATACGAAAAACGTAGTGCTGACAGAATGTAATAACCGCTGCTATTAAATTTAGAGCATGTAGGATTACGAAAACATATTTGTAATTTAAAATTCATTTCTAATAGAACATGGGTTATTTGATTGTACATTTCGAGTTGCAAACCTAACCCAGACCTCTCCTTCTGGAGGGACGCGTGCACGTCGCGATACGAATTCTATGTTATTAAATATAGTCCGATTTATGTCAGGTTTGGACATATTTTTATCAAGAGAATCTCCTACATTTATTCTTAACATTTTTAAGAAAGTATACTGAAAAGAAGTAAAAATTTAAATTTTTATTCATGGGTGATTCATTCCGTGTGTTACATTGTAACCCAAGAATCGGTTGCCGGCGGCCAGATAACATCTCTACGCGCCGAGGCTACGAGCTTCGCGCTTTGAGTGCCAGAGCCTCGGGTCTCCCCTGAAAACATAAATCTGTAAGTTGGGCTCGTTCGAGTAGTTCGAACAAGCTCGAAGTATTAGCTCGTTCGAACAAGCTCGAACACCGAGACTCGGTTACCCATCATTACTCGCAGTCGAGTCGAGTGGAACCAGAAGCTTTCTTTCTGTTTTTCAATCGCTTGTCCTTTTCTACGTTCGGAACTCTACAAAGGCAAGCTGTCGAAACTCGAATTTCGAGCAAATAATTACATTGTAAGGTGCTGAAAACTTTTCCACGTCGTCGTGAATGCAGCGAAGCGGACCCGAGTTTGTTGCGTTCAACGCGGGATTACTGTACATTTATATCGCACCTGCACCTTCTTTGCTCTATTAGTTTGTTAATTCTAAGTTCTCTTAAGACTACAATGTCCGATTTCATTCAATTGTTGAATTTAAATCAATTTTTACAGAATTTTACAACATTAACATAATTGTATAACAATTACATAATATATACGCTATTAAGTTGATATGTCGCAACATATGAAACCATTGTATGCGTTTTAATTGTTACTTAAAATTGTGTACTAAAACTACATACATATACTTATATACTTGTTGGATCTTTTACTCTTTATTCCGTTTTCAATATGGCGCTTTCTGTAATAACGCAATATCCCAAATGTTTACCAAGTTTATTAATAATTTCCAAGAATATAAAACATTTATAGCAGATTACCCAATGATACATTTGATAATCGCTACATGGAAAAAAAATTAACAAAAATAACGCCATTCTTTTCGTAAACAAGTCATTAATGTATAATGTTATTGAATCTTTAGATTGAATATTTGTTTATGTAAAAAACCTTGTTAGCTTAAATTGTGACTTCATATATTATGTGATGTTGATTGCATAAAATGATGACTTATACAAATAAAAATATGTTTGTAAAAATTTCTTATATTTAGTAAGAATAATTGCTGTACTAAATTTACATTTCCATGTGCAGATATGTATGTATACAAATATGTTCGTGCACATGTTTTGCATAAATGTAAGAATTCACGTTCTATGCACGCTTAAATTTGTAGTATAAGTTATTGCAACCCTTGAAAATGTGAAAATTACTATGTTCCAGATTTTTCGGCGGACACAATGGTCGGTCGAGTTTTCTGGGCAAGTCAGCTGACGGATATTCCATTTCTGGGAATGTCTTCAGAAGCTTGTTCATCAACGACATGTCCAATCGCAGCGGGACAATCCAATGTTTACCATGCGCAAATACCGATTTTGAAAAAATACCCTGTTGTGAGTAAATTGATGTCAACATAATTTTTTTTGAAAAATGAATTTAGAGGTTTATATGATTATAATGCCTAAAATTAAGTAGCAGCAATGTCCAAGCTAAGTCGTCTACTAATAATAAGTATGCTCCGTTCTTATATAGGGTGTTTCAAAATCGTAGGTATACATATAGTTCGTGGTATTACTGTAGCATCCATTGAAAGAAACGAAAGAAATCTTAAGGTTTCATTACTAATATGTCCGACAATTGAGTGTTTCAGAGATAACTGACGTTTCTATAACGAAACACTACTAACTTTATGTAGTCAATTTTGTACAAATAGAAAATGTATGATGTATTTCTTATTTATTGATAAACATCAGAGCGACAAGAGTATGGTAGACATAACAATGTAATGTATTTCACACCCGCTTATTCCAATTATTTAAAATTCAATATACAGGATGGGGTAATAACTATTACCACCTCAGATATCTTCGAAACTATAAGGTTCACACAAATATTTGTAGAACCAAAATTGCACAGTACGATGAGAGCCATCTGATGGCGTTAATAGTTCCTTTGCAAGTGGAAGTACTTTGGATATTTGAAGGTCAGCACCACTTTTTTAAATGGATCGGTATGTTTTTGTTTCCGCAAAATGATAGAGGATTTTGAAATGAATTCAACGACCTATTATATAAGGTCATTGAAGGTCACAGAAAGTTGTTACGAGCCAGGGCTAAGCGGCTGCGAAAGCCGAGGAAATGGTGAGTTTGAATTTTAAGAGTTTGTTATGTGTACGAACCTGTGCCTATTTCATCACAAGGAGCTACTAGGATAGATTGTCGTGGTCGAACCTGAGCCTATTTCATCTCAGGGAGCCACTAGGATTGTTAGTATGGGCCTCGTAACTTTAAGAATTCGGTACACTTCGAGCGGTAAAAGTATGCCTTTTTAGGTTCGCTTCTAGCTAGGAATTTAGATATTATTCTAGAGTTGAAATGAACAACGCTGAATTATAAATATATAAATGTATAAAAGTATATTCAAAAAAGCAAAGGTTTGACAAATGTTAATGTAAGTTGCGGTCGCGGAAGCTAATTCCAACGTTCTCGGTTTTCACGCACTGAGAAATGCGGGCGTTTGTTGTACAGAGTTTAGCTTACTTTTAAAAATGCTTGAAAGGGACTTTAATATCCAATCTCACTAACTAGACTTCTGGTATGAGTATTTGGCGGCAAGCTGTTGACTTGAGAATGTGAAAAGGAAAGGGAGAGGGAGCGTTTCGTCCTGGGCCTGCTAGTGGACTCCACTGATGCCAGTGATGCCAGAATCGTGGGTAAACCGCGCAAGCGCTTACCCTCTCCATGCCTCCCGGGGGTATTTTACTCAAGCATATGTAGCCTGTCCGTGTGAGCTCTGCCCCCACTACGTCCTACTCGGCGACTCACCAACACAAGCGTTTTCTACCTCTGTCCGTGTGCGCTCTGCTTCGGGTGTTCTCGGCAAAAGCCTACGTCACGCGTTTACGACGCGACGGCCGAGTGGCCCAAGCCAGGTCAAAAATCCCAAATCCCAAGCAACCTAAAATTTACGTCCTAAACGCGGAGAGCTGCATGATTTCTCTCACGCGTTCATGATGAAGACCCCGTCCGAAACCCCGTCCGAAACCCCGTTCGAATCCCGATGCGACGGTTTTACTTTTTATTTTTAATTATTGCATAATTTCATTTTGTAATATGTCAGTAAAATAAAAACTTCGAAGATATTGATTCAAGAAGCATTTTAAAAAAATGGGAGATGTATTTATTCCTCTTCAATATTTAAATTTTATATTACACAAATACATATTCTCTTATGTATACACAAATTATTCGTACAATTAGATGTTACCTTCATTCTAAGTATTACAGTACATACATATGAAAACATTGGAAGAAAAATCCATCACATTAATATGTTACGTACAGTAAAATGAAAGCTTGGAAGATATTAATTTGAGAAGCATTTTCAAAATCAGATTTTTTTGTTAAGCTGGTCCACGCATATGCATTTTGTTGATTTGATGTCGGTGAGCATGGATAATATGCATGTACATACAACACATCGTCTTTTCTTTTTGTCCTGTAAATAATGTCACAAGTGTTCCGTCCTCAATATGGACTTTCTTTACTCACGGTATATTAATTTCTTTGGGCGGCTAAAATGCTTCTTTCAAAATCTGGGAAATTCCTAACAACCCCTTTTGAAATAATCGGACAATAATGTATTCGGCGCGCGTATAATTGCACCTAATTCAAAGTCCCTTTACGTTAAAATGGTTTCTAAGAATTCAATACCGTCCTACTTTCCGGTAATAAAGACATTTCCAAATTATGTGTTACAATGAGCCACCGTGCAGTCTCGTTATTGCCTCCATTTACGATAGGGTTGCCCGCGTTGCGGTCAGATACGTCTCACCCTAAGTACCTGCTCATATACGCGCGTCATGGTCATATTCGGTAGTAGTACTATTATTCCAATTGCGGTTCACACTATGTGTATACTTCTTTTCAGACATAGAAAAGTAAAGGACTACTAACATCACATGTGCGTGGACCTACTGCAACGGTTCTCAGAAACGCGAAATATATCATTAATACAAAAATCGAATTTTGAAAATGCTTCTCAAATTAATATCTTCGAAGCTGTTATTTTACTGACATATTACAAAGTGAAATTATACAATAATTAAAAATAAAAACTAAAACGGTCGCATCGGGATACGAACAGGCTCTTCATCATGTACGAGCATGTGTGAGAAATCATTCTGCTCTCGGCGTCGGTCCTTTACTTTTCTATATCTGAAAAGAAGTACATATGCACACAGTTTAAACCGCGTTTCTGAAATTAATATCTTCCAAGCTTTCATTTTACTGTACGTAACATATTAATGTGATGGATTTTTCTTCCAATGTTTTCATATGTATGTACTGCAATAGTTAGAATGAAGGTAACATCTAATTGTAAGAATAATCTGCCTACAGTATATATAGGAGAATATGTATTTGTGTAATATAAAATTTAAATATTAAAGAGTAATAAATACATCTACCATTTTTGTAAAATGCTTCTTAAATTAATATTTTTGAACCTTTTATTTTACTGGCAAATTACAAACTAAAATTACACAATAATTAAGAATAAAAAGTAAAAGCGTCGCATCGGATACGAACAGGGTTATGGAGGGGTCCCTCGTCATGAGGGCGTTAGAGAATTCATGCTGCTCTCGACTCTCGGCGTTTAGATTGAGCAAACGGGGTTATGGACGGGGTCCCTCGTCATGAGGGCGTTAGAGAATTCATGCTGCTCTCGACTCTCGGCGTTTAGATTGCTTGGGATACGGTATTTTGACCTGGCTTGGGCCACTCGGCCGTCGCGTCGTAAACGCGTGACGTAGACTTTTATCGAGAACACCCGAAGCAGAGCGCACATGGACAGAGGTAGAAAACGCTTGTGTTGGTGAGTCGCCGAGTAGGACGTAGTGGGGGCAGAGCTCACGGACAGGCTAGAATATGCTTGTGTAAAATACCCACGGGAGGCATGGAGAGGGTAAGCGCTCGGGCGGTTTACCCACGATTCTGGCATCAGTGCCTTAGACGCGGGGATATACGATGGTCGGTTAAGGACGCATATATACGAACGAGGAAGGCTTCAGGTAGTTGCGGGAAAGGTGTCAACTCGGTAGACCTCTGATGGCGAATGTAGGAGGTAGTGCCGCCACAAGTATGACCTGCGGATGAGCTGTACGCATCCCTTTTTATATCTCGAAAATCGAGTCTAAAAGTAGTGGGGGACACACCTGTTCCTTAACGGAAATTGTTTTCCCAGAGAATCTGGCCACGCCATAACACCCCGTGGGCAATTACGTAATCTGGCCGGATGCATTCCAACTCCTGATAGGGTTAACCAATCCGACCCCCTGCAACTTATACAGGGTGTTCGACAACTAGTGGGAAAAAATTTAAAGGGTGATTCTCTGAGGCAAAATAAGACGAAAATCAAGAATAACGAAATCGCGAAAAATGATTCGTTTGTTACTTATAAGCGTTTAAAAATTGACCGAAATCATGGCAATCCGCGCGCACGGAGTGTCAGCGGATCACGGCTCACCAGGGGCGTACAGTCACTTTAAAGACTCAACGACGTGCAGGAAAAGTCGGTAGAACAGCTGTTTACTTACCCCGTAGAAGATGTCGATAACTTGTGCCCGCGGTATTTGAGTCGAATCCATTTGTATCGCATTAACTATGATTACTCGACAAAATTCGCAAGAAATGTAAATATCTCCTTACGAATATTATCGAGTAGAGTGGGTTAATGCCCTCTCCAGTTATCACGTATCACAATTGTCCTGTCCACGAGTATCCATGAAATTAATCCGCACACGCACGTACACCACACAAGTCCGCGAAAAATGTCCATACACACTGCGCGATTGTCCCCACCGCGAAAAATGTTCACACACTGCGCGATTAAGTAGACCTGCGAGCTGTTCCTCCGTTGGGTTTAACACTCTACAGGTTACACAAAACTGTGGTGGCTGTAGCACCACGCACGCCAATGCATATTTTGCTTCTAAAAATTTCTCTTTCCTTTTCAAATCTGTTACGCTATTATTCTCTATTTCCTGTCTGCTGGTCGCACATTTGGTGACAGGCCCTTCACTAATTTCCAACGCATCCTTCAGAGCGTCGCCGGAGTTCTGGTTTTCGATAGTCTCGGTCTTTCGCCTACCTCTTAGCTTTCTCTGTTTATGACTCTTTTCCGCTGTCCCGATTGCTGTCGCTGATTTCTCAAGTTTTCCTTTTCTATTCTCTTTTCTTTTTCTCTCCCATATTTTTGCCTTTTCTAACTCCGAGGGATTTAGGAAATGCAGCGAGAGTAGGCAGTCGATGGTAAGCCTCCGAGGTTACAACACCAACACTGCACTAGTATTCGCGCTTACTGAATGTACTAAATAAATGAAGTGAGGACAATTTCTATTGTTTTATACCACCTTACT